GCATTAACAAAAAAATTTCCTTGGGCGATTTTACTATTAGAACCATCCTAAAACAGACCCTAACCCAAACCTAAATATGCTTTAAAGATTTTTTTCGGTAATCACGTGACTGCAAAATTTTGTTGGCGATCCAGGGTAAGATGTTAAATTTGACCAATCGGGATGCACAAACTTGAAAAATTGACCAATCAGAGCAAATCGAAATTATCCTTAACTGTCCCTGAACTGGTAGTACAAAATGTTTTTAGCCAATTAAAATTAGCGTTAGCTTGTGATCTATAACTATTGAAATCCGGATTGACCCGGGTTGACCCGGACCCGGATCGAAGCTCTAGGGCATCAAAAAATAAAGATGTGGCAAAAGAAATCCAGCTATGACAATGTCCTCAATCGCGGTAGAAAAAGCATCGTTAACAAATGGCATTTCAACACCAAATAAATCGAAACGAAAAGGTAATAGAACACCTGCCAATGAAGATGTACAAGAAAATGTAACGATAATACAATTGGGATCGCGGAATAAAACCAAAAAGGGCAAAAACAAGGAATTGAACAATTCTAGTGGTGTGAGGGTCAAGTCCCGTGTCATTAGGCAACGGTCACTTGTGAATAAAACGAATGGTGCTTCGAGAAATCGAAGAAAGTTGAACAGAGCGGCTGTTAGTGATACCGAAAATACCAATTCAGATACAACACCCGAAGAGGTTCTCAAGGACGAACGGATAGAAAGTTCATCAGATGGTTCACATGAATTTGATAAAAATGATGAGAATAAAGTAAATTTTGCTTTAAAATTAACTCCTGAGGAAGCTGATACATCTAAAACACGACCAGATCATCATGATAAAGCAATGTTTGAAAATGCCAAAATTAAAGCCGAAGAGGTTTGCACGATCATGTAATATCAAGTTACTCCGTACAGTATTTATATAAGATTAACAGCCTTTATTCCTTTTTTTTTTTCCATAAGATAAAAGAACCTCGGGAGAGAACCATCATAGATGCTGAGGATCAACACCAAGTATTTGCTATGAGTGACCCTACACTGGAAGCAATCCGGTTCGGGGAATGGGAAATTGAACCTTGGTGTGCGTCCTCCTATGAAATGGAATATATCGCAAATTCGCTAGTATATGTTTGCGAATTTTGTTTAAAATACATGAGAAGTGAATTTATTGCTGATCGACACAAGGTCT